AAAAAAATTCCCCTAGGAATGCATTAATTAATTTTCAATGCATTCCTATGGGAAATTTGGTTTCACAAGACAATGTTTTCGCAAGACAGTGATTTCTGCGGAACGGATTAACATCGTCTTGCAAGGCACCACTATATGAGTATTACTGAGACTAGCTTTATATATTGTAATAGATAATAAAATTGATAGATAATAGATACTATAATAGATAATAAGTACCGTAATTATGTTAGGGATAAATTCTGGATAATAGATACTATAATAGATAATAAGTAATTATGTTAGGGATAAATGCTGAGGGACCATGTGGTAATATTTAATTAACAGTTTTGATTTTGGGGGAGATTATATTAAAAGGGAAACAGAAGATGGGAAAAGGGATCTGAAGGGATGTTAAGTTACAGAGTCTACCCACAAAATGAGTTTATTTTAAGAAAGGAATAGAAGTGGAAAGAGACAGATAAGGAGAGCATTAAAATTTAAGGCTGGAAGTAACTCTAGGTAACATTAGCTAAGGAAGAGGAAAATAGGTTATAATATAGAGATGAGTAGAATTTCAATTAATTTAGGGTTTTATAGGTTGTATAAAAGACAACATATATTACAATTTTAATGTCTGTCTGTCTGTCTGTCTGTCTGTCTGTCTGTCTGTCTGTCTGTCCGTCCGTCCGTCCGTCCGTCCGTCCGTCCGTCCGTCCGTCCGTCCGTCCGTCCGTCCGTCCGTCCGTCCGTCCGTATCTATCTATCTATCTATCTATCTATCTATCTATCTATCTATCTATCTATCTATCTATCTATCTATCTATCTATCTATCTATCTATCTATCTATCTATCTATCTATCTATCTATCACAGCGGTCACATAACCTTCCTACTGCAGTAGCTCTACTGGCTGCCAATCCGTTTCTAGGTGCAATTCAAAGTGCTGGTTTTAACCTATAAAGTCCTAAATGGTTTGGATTAGAGAACGGCTCAAATTAAAAATGAATTACAAAATTTGTCTAAAATCACAAATCTGTTGGAAATTTGTCGCTTGGATACAAGCTATCTCAAAGACTGAATCTCCCTCTAAAAGGCAGACCCAGGTATTAAGATAATCCAGGGAGGCCTTTCATTCTGTCTCACCATCCTCACAGGTACACTTGGTGGGGACATGGGAGAGGGCCTTCTCTGCCACTGCCCTCAAAATCTGTAATTCCCTCCCATGGGAGGCCAGCCTGGCCTCACTGTTGCAGTCCTTCCATAAACAGATTGAAGGACCTTTCTCTTCAGGCAGTTTTTTCCTCAGTGACTAGGAGACATCTCCCCAAAAAAATCTGTCTGAGAAGGACCTCACAAAAATCATGTTTTCTATATTGTTTTCTATTTAGAACTGGAGAGGAACTGATCACATTATTCTTATTCAAAAGAGCAAACAGTGTGTCATTATTTCTCTTTCCACATAATAAATACATGATGGTGGTGGAGCCAATTAAGTAACAGCAATAATAATTAATAATGAGTGTCATGCTATTGATTTCTTCAAGATTTCTATGTGTTTCCTTGATTCCTTTTATTGATAGTCACAAAAAGTAAGTTGGGGAAGATAAATGATGCAGGGACACTTATGTATAGCAAAAAGTGGCAATTTTTGTTACCTATATGTTGTCTAAAGTGCAAACAGTAGCACATTATCATTATACGACAATATGTATCATGAAACTATTAGCAATGTATAGTTGCCCTACTCTGATATACTCTTTGTAGTTTGGAGAATACAAAACAGGGACAAAGAGTTTACTAATTCCTTCTAATTTCACAGATTTGCCCCAGAAAATATGGGGAAAGAAAGGGAAAATTTTCAGCAGCAACTACCTGATCAGTTTGATATCTAGTTCTATCACCAATGTGCCAAGTTTGTCTAAGAAGGTATTGTCTCACCTATCCCATTAATAATGTGTCTTAACTTCCGGTAGAGGAGTAATTTAATTATTTGATTCCTTAGCTGGTAAAGCTCCGTGGGCTGAGCACCCAGCTCAGCTGTGGAGCAAAGACCTGGGAATTCAAATCCCCACTGTGCCTCCCAAGAGATCACCCAGAGACCATGTGGCTGACAATGCTCCATGCCTTGACATCTCTGTGGGTTTGGGTAAGCTGCATAGTACCACAGCACCGCCAAAGAAGGGATTGGTAAACCCCTTCTCCATACCTAAACCTAGAAAACAGTGGGAGAATCACCATTTGTCAGAATCACTGGAGAGCACATGATTATTGCATTATATAATAGTATCCTCTACAATGTCAAGTTAATTACTTACATCATGAATGGAATCAAGGAGCTTTGTCAGTTGATAAAACCGCTGCCAGCTTTGCCCAGAACTGTTTGGATGTTTAGTAACCATCTTCCTCAGTTCTTTAATATAATTTGCCCTCATTTCTTCAAATGCAGCTTGGCTCTTCAGGCCATCCTTGGGAACTATAAGGAAAGAGTGCAAATATATATTAATCAATGTTCTGTTCAGATTTTGTCCGAAAGGAAAGACAATCTGTTATTACAAAGTCACTTGCTAATTATCAGAAAACATGTTGGTGATTATTTTCTTGAAAACAGCAAAAGTTTTGCACATTGTCATACACAAATCCTCTGATTTCTTTTTTTGGCAAGGATACTTTGCAGTTGAATAGATGAATAATGGCTAGCTTGAAAACAGGATGAAAGGAAAGGTTTAAAATACAATGTACGTGATCAACCCTCTTAGGTTTTAGAAACCTATTACTTACACAGAAACACAAAGACACACGTTTTCTTATAGAAGAAAAAAATTATTATGACACTTCCAGTCAATTTTAATACTACACAATCTTACTAGTTGTGGGGGAAAATGCAAAATACATATAATTGCTTTCAAGATGGATTTTAAACTGTACTCTTAGGGATGGAAAACCCATTATTTTTCTTCTGTAGTCAAAATAATGCTTTTAAAGGAATGTATTTTTTAGAAGACATAACAGTTAAAAAAAATTTGAGTATCATGCTAAGCAGGAAAAAAAGTTTTTGGAAAGTTGATTATTTTCCCTTAAATGTTTTACCACAGATTTGCACTTCCAGTCTTTTCAGTCATAGGGTGGCTCCAGATATTTATCGTGTTCTTCTGCTGCTTTCCTCTCCAAACTGATATATATTCTGGCTATGTACACATTGTCACATATTAGTATGTTGATAAGAACAGGTACAAGTTGATTGTTCTTTCCAAAAACAGGACTCCCTTACTGCTCTGAGCACGGAGAATCCTATGCCTTATTTGTGTGAATATCATTAAGGTTATTTGATACAGTGTACTTTGGTTTTTAATGTCTCCATTCAATTATTTCAATATTACTGTAGAAATATTACAGTGTTTCCTATATTCCACATACTGGTCTACACAAATGGGGAAACAGACCCCCAACTGTACTAGTTCTAAATGCCTGTTCAGTATTATACAAGTTCCAGGTGTTCTGTTGTTACCAGTGCTTGAAATAAGACTGAAAAAAAAAAAAAACAGAAAGAAGATGCTGCGGGACAGAACTGGGATCAATAGTAGCACTAAGGATATATGATGCTATTTATTAGAGATGGGGATATTGATATACGAATACGAATATCTCCGCACATGTGTCATTAATAAGGGTCCAGCCCCATGATCCACCACTGCTGCGACGTCTGCAATCTGTCCAATGGCTCCTGAGATCGCGATTGGCTAGCCACTCCTGGCAGGAGGCGGGATGACAAGCCTCTCTGCCAGGTCGAAGAGCGGCTCGCAATCTCCAGAGCCATTGGAAGGATCGTGGTCATGGCAGTGGCGCATCAGTGAGTGGACTGTCCAGCCTCATGCGGATGCTGGACGGTCACCTGTGTGGGGATATTCATATTTCAATACGAATACTCCCATCTCTACTATTGATATAAACAATAGCTTTACTTATAGCAGTGTATTGTGTTGACAATCTTCAGCTGTTTCTCAGCTCTTTGCTTATATGCCTTACTTCATTTTTACAGTATAAGAATTCCAAAACCAACACACCCATTGCAAAAGTACAACAGGAAGTACAGCATGTGTTAGGACAGCATCATAGACTTCCTAATAATTTTTGAAGTATAGAGTGGGTTTAGTTCAAAGGGCTCATATTACATTCTTATGTACAGAATTCAATTTAAGTACTAGAGTTATGGATCTGAGAAATGGTGACCCAGTATATTTGTATGTTTAATTATATTGGACAGTATCCTGTTCAGTATTTACACACACAGCACCAATTGTAGAAGTTGGAAAAAGTATGAGGTGCCAGATACATGCAACCAGGCACACAACCAGCCCCTTGTCAGATTGCTGCTGCAGCTTCCACAGTTGTGTGCATAAATATTCAGCAAGATACTAGCTTCTGTCATCAGATCAAACCCTTGTTTATGACATTATAGCTAGAGGCTTCAATCTCAGACCTCACTTGATTTCTAATTGTGTTTCACAAAACATACAAGTTCCACTGTGATGGCCAGTTAGCTATTCAATGGAAAATTTACCTTCACAGCCATGTAATCCAAAGGCAAATACCAATAATTAGTTCCCACCTCTGAACCAGTAAGACTGACACACTGTTGACTTCACAAGTCCCATGTATTCAGTGGGTGTATTCTAGTTAATACTAACAGCTTGATACAGCGCCAGGTTTCTTATTCATAATCTTACAAATCATCCATTCTTCCTTTCTTACTAACTGTACCTCCTAGACAATATTGGAAGCTGCATAAAAGGGTAAAAGTTATTGCTTCAGTTGTTAATAGAAATAATCTGTATTCTTTCATTAAGTTAGATTTCAGGTCCAAAATGTTGAAATGGGAGAAAAGATATAGAAAGAACAACCAACAGGCATTAGTGTTTCAGGCCGATTGTTCATATGTTCACTGGTGCCTTCCTGCTGACTAGTTAGGGCTGGTGTGTGAAATTTGAATGTCCATACCCATTCTTATGTCCCCTAACCCTGTGATAATTATCCAACATCATATTTTAAAAAAACACCTGGATTTTCCAAAGATGCTCAGAATTATGTCCATAAGAAAGAAAGAAAGAAAGAAAGAAAGAAAGAAAGAAAGAAAGAAAGAAAGAAAGAAAGAAAGAAAACAGCTGTTCCAACACAGAACTTGCTCTTAGATGTGGAAATAAATTATTTAGCAGCAAGAGACAGGAAAAGTACAACAAACAGCTGCTTCAGAAGCAATTATTAGACAATCTTGGTCTTAGAAAGAGCCTAATGGGCGGTACATGGCACCTTATATATTTGAATGAAAAGCCATTTTGACCATCAATTTGGGCAGGATAAAAGATGGAACTGCAGAGGAGTAGCAGCACTAAGCTGCACACCTGATGTCTTGAGCAAAGGGACAGTGGACTAGCATGCCGTCTTCTTCATGATCTTCAAGCAGCCTATAGGGTCACCCAAGGGTGAGGAGGAAATCCTCCCACATAGTTGCTGAATTAATCTCCAGACCAGCTTTTAGAAACAACTAGCCACAAGTAACATTGTAACGTAGTTATTCTTCGGTAACAGGTAATATAGCCAGGGGTTACAAAGTTACATTATTTAGGTGTAACAAGTAACACATAATTGCTTTCAAAAACTACTTTAAAAGGGCATATTAAGAGGCATGTTTAAGTCATTGTCCTATCAATATTTCAAGTGAAGTATTAATTGGTCTTGTCCTCTGTATATGTTACGTTATATGCCATCATATGCCATCATTTTGACCAAACTCCGGGAGGCAGTGGAAGACAGGAGGGCCTGGCGTGCTCTGTTCCATGGGGTCACGAAGAGTCGGACACGACTTAACGACTAAACAACAACATATGCCATCAAGTCACATCAAATTTATAATGACCCTAACAAGGTAGAAGGGATGTGGTGGTGCTGCGGGTTAAACTGCAAAGCCTCTGGGCTGCAAGGTTGAAAGATCAGCAGTTCGAATCCATGCAACTCCCATCGCTTGTCCCAGCTCCTGCCAACCGAGCAGTTCAAAGGCATGTAAAAATGCGAGTAGATAAATAGGTACCACCACGGTGGGAAGGTAATGGCATTCCGTATCTAGTCGCACTGGCCACATGACCACGGAAACTGTCTTTAGACAAACACTGGCTCTATGGCTTGGAGATGGGGATGAGCACTGCCCCCTAGAGTTGGACACAACTGGACATACGTATTTGTCAAGGGGAACCTTTACCTTTAACAAGGTTTTCAACACATGTGAGATATTTAAGGATTTATGTTATCATTGCCACTCCCAGAGTGAATTTTCATGGTTTGTGCAGGGATTTTAGGACTGAGAGTTGGGTTCAAATGTGTCTGTCACTCTATCCATTATACTACACTGGCTCACTTGCTTCTATATTTTTACACGTATTTCTAAGATGCAATATCAGAACTGACCATGAGAGGCAACCAGAGAGTTTAATGCTATGAGGATTCCCTCTTTAAAGGTAATATTCAGAAGTCTGACCGAGTCTCAGTGCAGACATTTGTTATTTATCAGGGACCTGGTGACTTTTTCCCCCATGGGATAACACACTTTCCACCTTTCTTACACCAATTCTTTCATTTTCCAGATTGTAACATTATAGTTGTGCTGTCCCATTTGATATTGGACAATGTCTAGGTATACAAACACAAGAAGTGACACAAGAAGAGGTACCCAACTCTTCTTACAGAACTTTAATCAAAGATTTCTGGCAACAATGTAATTTGTAAATTTAGAGACAGGCTTTAATGCCTACTGAAAAGAGGCAAAGAGCGGCTACTCTGTGTATAGGAAAGATTGTACTTTAGTTATAGAAGGCAAATTTCCAAAGAGGAGATTCTTCTTTCTTCTTGTCCATCCATTTCGAGTTTCCACATAACTCATAATGCTCCCTGCTCTCCTAGTGAATCTATATGAACAAAGGCTCTCCTCTTTAAAGGTACTGTCCATGAGAGGAGAGTGATGGGAGAAGCAATAGGTTAAGACAGAGCCAGCATACACCTTGTCCTCTGGTCATGATATCTGTTTGTCTATGATCCAGTTATAATGCTTGAATAAGGCTTATGTTTTTCCAGGAATGACGCTATTATTGGAAAAGCAGCATACCAACATTGTATGAAAATGGACAAGTAAACCAATGCTATAGCTACAACTTGGCCGTGAGCCAGCTCCTCCCAGCAGCAACCTGACAGAAGAGTGGGGCTATTCCATCACTTTGGGGTAGACAGGTATTATCAGGAAGTTCTCTTTCAAAGAAACCTGCCATATTGTTTATTTGCCGCTGAGTGTAGTACTGTGCATGAGTGTAGCATCCTGTCCCTTCATTACTAAAACTGCAGTTATAAGGATTCTAACTAGAGAATATAAATAGTTTGTTCATTTCCTGCTAACATCATATGTGTAATAATTCTAAAAGTAACAAGTTCCTAACCTGCAACTATCTTTCCAGAGATTCGAGTCTTCATACATCAAGATATCCAAACAGTATAAGTTATGGCATTTCACTATTTACAGAGTCATCCAATTAACATCATGAAAATGATGTTTCTTAATTTCTGCCTATTCCTTGATATTATTGATGGTCCAGTCAGTAAACAAATGCATGTATAAAAAAGGTCATTGGTTTCAGAGTTACATGATCAGATACACGTGTATGCCTGCCTTTTAATAAATATTTCCATGTTCTAAGTAGAGCCTAGATAAAATGAGCACTAACGAAATGGGCGAAGCAGGAATGAATGCTTTTTATAATCAAATCTGAAAATTATTACACTACCCGCAGTAAGAATTATATATATAAAATTACAATAATCAGAAGCACAACTGAAGCTTTGGGGTTTTGGATACATGCCCAGTAGCTTCATATTTCAATTATTAAATCTGGGAAGGCAACTGGCAATCTTCCTCATTCTGTTGGTTACAGAGAAGCAAGAAAACAATTGAGATTTGTTTCTTCCGTGTTAATGGAAAAAAACTTTCTTGATGTGGCTGTCATTCAAATGTCTAAATAACTTCCACTAGCTGATCATATAATTACTTTTTAAAATCCTAATTAACTGGAAATCTATATGGTTCACATAGTCTATGTGTGGCATTATTTGAACTGTGCCTCAATTTGCAAGTAACACAGCTGCTATGGTTTGTGAGCAATCTTTTTGTAGATTCTGGAATCCTTCTTATAATAGTTTTTAAACTATTACATACTTGCTTTGTTAGGTTTCAGATTTCATCCTGGCCATGTGGATTAGAATATTATGTGAACTTCTGTGGAGAAAGGTTTTTCCCCCTTGCCATCATAAAGAAGTTCCTTTCTCACACAGCCATCCATGTATCACAGATAACAGAGGTACCTGGAAAAGAATGTTTGAACCTGTGCTTCGAAGGGAGGTCTATGCGGAAACCAACCATACCCCAGGTCCTTTTATTACTGTGTTTCCCCCAAAACAAGACAGGATCTTATATTACCATATTTTTCGCTCCATAAGATGCACTCCCCCCCAAAAAAAGTGGTGGGAAAAGTGTGTGTGTCTTATGGAGCGAATACTGTTCCCACCGATGGCAACGAAAGCTCGCCTCCCATCTTCCATGCCACCGCCTTCAGCTTCCCCTCTCACGCCTGCCGCTGACATTGCTTTGTTCACCGTCTATCGTCAGTCTATCATCGTACGCCCGATCCAACATGCTGCAGTGCAGGCCATGCTTCAGTTTTCTATCTGTGCCAGTGAAGGCTGAGAGGGGAAAAAGAGCTGTGTGGACTTTGTGGGTGTGCATGCGGGGGGGGTGTCCTCTCAGCGAGGCTTCCTATGGGGTCTGTGAAACGCCAGGTGGGCATCCTCTCTGGAACGGGCTCCATCTCCTCCTACTCCTCCACATGCAGCTGCAGAGTGCCTTCCTCAGGCTTACGATCTGATTCTGTAGCTTGTTGTCCATTTAATTGTTTGCTGCTATATTTCTGCACCCCTTCACGGATTGCTGCCTTGTCATGGCGAAGGGGCTTGAGTAACTCAGGGAAGCTATGGGCTATGCCATGCAGGGACACCCAAGACAGACAGGTCATAGTGCAGAGATCCAACTAAATGCGATCCACCTGGAGCAGGCAGTAGCAAGCCACTCCAGTATCTTTGCCAAGAAAACTCCATGGACGGAAACAAAAGGCTAAAAGATATGATGCTGGAAGATGACCTCCTCAGGTCGGAAAACGTCCAACATGCTACTGAGGAAGAGCAGAGGACAGGTAGCTCCAGAGCTAATGAAGGGGGTGGGCCAAAGCTGAAAGGACGTTCAGACATGCCTAGAAGTGAAAGGAAAGTTCGATGCTGCAAAGAAAAATACTGCATAGGAACCTGGAATGTAAGATCTATGAACCTTGG